TCACAGCAACACAACACCTTGGGGGCATGTGCAGGAGTGGAGAGGGGAGGAGGCAGAACATATATACCACCAAGATATTTTTACATGAACCTGCTGGGGTGGGACGGGGGACAGGGTTAGAAAAGATACTGAGTTCTGAAAGCGAATTTTCGTCTCAAAGCAGCATTTAGGAAACCCTTGGGCCAGGGCTGGGGGGGAAAAAGAATTCATTACAATGAAATATTATTTTTCGATATATATACTGTATATAAATATTGCAGGTCTCTCAATACTGGAGTTACAGGGGCGGGGCGGGGATCCCACGAGGAAAGAAAATCGGGAAAAGGCAAGAAATGGAAAGATCTGCTGGGAAGTGGGTGGGTGGGGGGAGAAAAACAAGTCCCACGGTTCCCTGCCCTCCCCACCCACCCCTTTTATAAAACGCCAGGTCTCTGCATTAAAAAGCCTGATAAAAAACTAGTTTCTCCCCCCCTCCAAAAAAAAAAGAGAGAGCGTGTGCCGCAGAAGAACATCTTTTGAACTACAGAGAAAGGTGTGCAGGTAAGAGCAAGATGCTCACCCACCCTAAAAACCCAGCCCCCCCCCCCGGGAATGGGGGGAGTGGAAGGAAGCCAATGGCAAGATTCCCATCTCAGAACATCTCCCGAATCAACGGTTGGCTGTGTTTGATCCCACTGCCTGCAGTGAGAGGGTGTAACGGGACTCGCGTGGGGGAGAAAAATACATCTTTTCATCGCTGGAAGGGCTACTAGATCAGCCGTCGCTAGTCCACTGAAACCCATTCTTCCGCAGAGCTCACTGCAGAACCCCAAGCCCCAGCTCCAGGCTGAATCCGGACGAAAGGTAATTTCTTGGGGGGGTGGAGGTGCAAAGAAGTATTTAAGTGCTTCAGACCCCTGACGCCACACAGCCTGGAAGTCGGCCTACGCCAGTGCAGGCTGGGAAGGGGGGGGGATCTGCTTCCCAACGGATGCTTCTATGTACAGGTATTTATCTCGTTAAGGAATGGCAGAATCAACCCTACCGGCCAGCCCGCATTTTCAGTACAGGAGTTAAAAAATCCACAAGGGCTTCTGACGGCGGACAGGGCACGGACACGGGTGATAGACGTTAAGAACGGCTGCTGGGGCACTACGTCTTTGCATTGGGGGGGGGGGTTAGAAAGATCTCCCTGCATGTAGGAAACTTACATTGGGGGGGAAAGGATAGAGTAGGATCCTTTCCTTGACACGCTGGCTTTCTACAGGCATGGAACTTGCATTATCAGGGAGAGGGGAGAAACTAAAAATACGTTCCACTCATCGTGCAAAATGGCACACTCTGAAGGATCGCGGCCCGCTTCCGGGTCATACGTATGTCTGTTCCAATGGACGAGGATTCGGTCCCAGGTCAGATTTCCACTTGACCTGTGTCGAAGTGACAAACGGACGTAAGGATCGAAGCGCCATCTTGCTGCTCTGCCAGGTGAGCGGGGGGTCCCGACAATATAGCGGGAGACGGCGACGCTGTCTCACTTGACAGGGAAGTTACGTCACGAGACAGCCCCCGAGGAACAGATCCAGGAACGCTACTTCCGGGACCCCGACTGGAATGTGTCAGTACTCTCATTACGTTTTCTTTGCCCACAGAGCCGCCTGCCTCCGTGTCCCCTTAGGGGATGTAGAACCAAAGCACGAGCCGCCCCAACAGCCCTGGCTTCCCAACTTAGGACCCCGACATAGGACATTTTTGTATCGGGGGCTTGGGGTTCTTTGTGGGAAGTGGTGGCAAACTGGTTTTGACCCATTTGTTACGAGTGGAAATTAACACCACGGTGGTGGTGAATGGGACAAGATTGGGTCCAGTTTGGAGACCGGGGACATTGGTGTGGACGGAACGATTGGAGGCTCCTCCTCTGTGGACGGGACCCCGGTTTTCAAGGAAGTCAAGACAAGGCACGTTGGACCGGGACGAGTGGGGGGACTCCGGGCGGGCAGACAGCCTCCTTGGAGGCCAAGACCTCAGGTTCTGAACCGGGAGAAAGTACCGGAAACGTGAGGGCCCAGGATTTTCAAAAGGTCACCACAGGTGGACCAACAAGAATGCTGAACTTAAGTTGGAGGTGGGCCTCCTAACTTAAGCCCCCCTGAGCACGTTGCCACGGGGCCTGGCACCTACGCAGGCACCAGATGGTTCAGTATGGCTGCCGGCACTCGGTTCCTCACACGCCCAACGTGGCGGATGAGACCACAACACTGGCCGCGACCCGAAGATGAGAGAAGGGAGATGCTGAGGAGGCGACGGCGAAGCGGCTTGGAGGCCCAAGTTCGGGCCAATTATCGTTAGGTACCCCAAACCGTTTCTCCTCATGCTCCTTCCCAGTTTGGTCTCCAAACTCTCATCTCTGGGTCACGTTCTCACGAGGGCGGGTCAGCCCCACATCAGATCGAACGTTCGTATTACAAAAATAAGTTTCCTGTGGGCAGAATACCAGAACGTCAAGAAGGAGGATTCTAGCTTCACTTTTTGCCCGACAACCTTGTGGTTTTTTTATTGGTGGGGAATTACTTTTGGTATGAAGAAGCATTCGACGCTTCGAATCCCCATCTGTGGTCTGAAACGGTACAGCCCAGATCTCAGTGAGAATAAGAACTCAGTCCCTTCCTTCGCATACAAACACGTATCTATTTCCCTAGAAGAATTCTACTAGGTATACGTATAACCTGAAAGAGGCGGGGGGGAGGGGGGAGCAAATCAAAATGGAAATCCAGGATGGCTGCGACTCCTTCCGCCCCCTGCGGCGGCGGCAGAAGACGGGGATGTTCTCCGGTAGTGTTTAATGTGCTCCGCAATAAGTTCAGAAATTCACCCTGTGCTTTCGGGACAGACAGGCAGACCGCACAATGGCAGGGCCCACGCGCACACCCAAGGGGATCCACAAACCAAGCCGTGCACCCCAAGTTTCCAACTCTGGCAGTGTGCTTCATGGGGGCGGGGCGGGGGGAGAGGAACAAAAGAAAAATCAACAAAGGGACAACAAGAGGCACACAATGGACAAGTGCAGGCCCTGTATGGCTTGACGTCTCTATTCAAGCACCCCAAAATGGGGAAGACGAGGGGGACGTGCGGGGTTAAGACTTAACCTCGCTTGTGTTTCGTGCCCGCCCCCTACCCCTACCCACCCGGGGCCTGTTCCCTTCCACTAAGCCTTGTGCCGATACAATCAACCCTTCCGTTTCCACCGGCTGGACGGGGGGAAAAATTAGTGTCAGGTTACCACTCGGAATGTAAAGAAGGAAGTCCAGACTTCCATGTCCCACCCCCCCACCCCCCCGTAAGCGTTCTTGGTGCGGCGGGAGGCAAGAACGGAGACCGAAAACCCGGAACAGGAAGCCGAGCGAGACCGCTGCCTCACTGAGGTAGCGGGACCAGCACTTCCACGTAGTTGAGCGGGAAGAAGCCCGATTGGCCGTTGATCATGCCCTCGTACCAGTTCTCGTCGATCTGATTGGTCAACGTGATGACGTCGCCCTCTTTGAAGCCCAGCTCCCCGTCGTTCTCGGGCTCAAAATCGTACAGCGCCTTGCAGCAGGGCTGGTCGAGATGAGCTGCAAGGGAAGTGAAGGGACAGCCGTGAGGCCATGCCCACCCGGTGCCCAGACTCGTGGCTGGGTACCTGATCCGGTTTCCGGCCCGACCGCCGCCACCTGAACCAGAAACTCCATTGTTCTCTGTGGCTGAATCCCCAAATCCAAACCCCCGCTCTGCCGTGGAAGCCTGCTGGGTGCTCAGGCCAGAAACGGACCCTCAGCCTAGGGTGTGGTGGGGAAGGATGTCAGCCACCCGGGGTCTCCGTTGGGGAGAAAGGTGAGGCACCGATGAAGTAAAGAATAATAATTATTATCGTCTATTGTCATGGAATACAAGTCTTAGGAGGAAAGGCCGAAAGAGTTGGGTATATCCAGCCTGGGAAAGAGAAGGCTTAGAGGGGACATGAGTGCAGTCTTCAAGTATTTGAAGGGCTGTCATGGAGAAGATGGAGCGGATCTATTCTCTCTAGCTCCGGATTGGAATGGGTGGAAATGACAAGGGAGTCATTACCGGCTAAATATCGGGAGACACTTCCTAACTGTAAGAGTGGTTGAGCAGTGGAACAGTCTGCCTCGGGAGGTGGCGGAGGCTGGACGACCATCTTTCGGGTATGTTGTAGGGCTCTCTTTCGGCTCTGCTCCTGCAGAGTGCAGGGGGTTGGACTAGATGACCTGCAAGGTCCCTTCCAACTCTAACATTTTACGATTCTACTAGAGAGAGCAAAACACATCGACGGGGGATGCAATTGGGACAGACGAGTGACACAAACGACAGTGTTTCTTCCAAACTGATTCTGCTTCTTGGCGACACGTCTTCTCCAACCACCAAAAGCCCCCGGTATTTTAGCCCCAGGATTCCGAGATAACTACCAGGCGCTACCTAATATCTTCACATCCAAATGGTCGAGGAATTTGCTTTTAAGAGGTCAAACGATTAACTGGATGCTGCAATCCACACAGATTCATGCACAGATGCACACAGGGACAGAAAAAAGCCAAACCCCACGCACAGAGCCCCTACTCACGGGCACGGGTCTGCCTGGGACTTAAAAAGTTAATAATAGCAAAAGAGAACCCAGCAACATAAAACTATTAGCTTAAAGAAAAGGATGGAAGAGGGGAGGTAAAGGAAGGGGAGAGTCCACGGTGCATGCCGGGGGTGGGGAATGGAGTCAAGGCAGGGAAAGGAACTCACAAAAATTCCGGCTGGGGGTCCGGGATGGTTTTTCGGATCGGAAAGAGGAGGAAGCTGCTTCCAAAAGAAAAATAAAGACAGACATGCTTTTATTTAAAACAAAAACAAAAACACCCAACAATCCGACAATGACATTTAAGTAAATGGCTCTCGATGAGACGTAACGGGGAGAGAGGCAGGGTGGTGGTTGGTTAGTTAGGAGTTGTGTGGAGTAGCATTAGAGGAACCCCCCCCCCCCCAGTTAGGCTTGGCACGGCACAGGAAATGGGGCGGCACAGAAAGGAGGGGAGGATGCGTACCCCGCCCCCCAGCCCAGAACAGCCACAGAGATCACAGCTGCACAGATGCTCTGGAGTCAGCTTTCAAGCAGGACTGGTATCCGAAATTCACTGCCACAGGAGGTAGTGGTGGCTACAAGCATGGACAGCTTCAAGAGGGAATTAGATAAGCATATGGAGCAGAGGTCCATCCGTGGCTCTTAGCCACAAGGCATAGACAGGAACTCTCAGGCTGGGGCAAGGGATGCTCTGTATTCTTGGTGCTTGGGGGGGGGGGCAACAGTGGGAGGGCTTCTGGTGTACTGGCCCCACTGGTGGACCTCCTGATGGCACCTGGTATTTTTGGCCACTGTGTGACAGAGTGTTGTACGGGATGGGCCATCGGCCTGATCCAGCATTGGCTTCTCTTATGTTCTTATGGATAAACATATGGAGCAGAGGTCCAAAAGTAGCTCTTAGCCACAAGGTATAGACAGGGACTCTCAGTCTGGGGCAAGGGATGCGCTGTCTTCTTGGTGAACAGTGGGAAGGCTACTAATGTCCTGACCCCACTGCTGGACCTCCTGATGGCACTTGGTGTTTCTGGCCACTGTGTGACAGAGTGTTGGACTGGATGGGCCATTGGCCTGATCCAATATTGGCTTCTCTTATGTTCTTATATGGAGCAGAGGTCCATCCGTGGAATGTATAGATAGGAACTCTCAGGTTGGGACAAGTGATACTCTGTATTCTTGGCTCTTGACCACTGAGCCACAACCACTGGAAACGCCCCAGGAGTGTGCCTGTGTGTGGGGCCCCCACACTGCGGGGCAGGTGTACATTACCAGGGTCCAAGTCTCGGGCCACAAGCCCCGGACCACAAATATGGTCCATTTATCATTTTAGAAATCAGAAATTTCCCCCCTTTCATGACTAATAAGATGGGGCCTGGAATCGGGCTTGGGGGGGGGGGCTGCTACAAATGGGTCAGGCCTTGTCCAGACGGCACAGGCTCTCCCGCCCCCGGCATCAGGTCAAAAATCCTCTCCCCACGAACCCTTTCCTAAACTTAAAGCTGGTATCTCCTGAAAAAAACCCTTATAGGTCCAATCTGTGGGGGCACCTTTGGCTGTCGGCCGCTGCTTTCGGGGCACCCTTAAGACAGGCCTCCCCCACCCCCCGAGGTATGAATCCCCCAAGGTATGAAACCGACTATGCTCCCGAGACATCCCTTACTTGCAACTTTGGGGGCAGGGTTGCAGGAAAAGCCTCCGTTGGATTGGTCGGACTCTCCAAACTCGTACGACTCTCGGGGCTTCGGTTTATACTCCCGCTTGGGGCGTGAGGATGCCTCCATCACTCTGGAGAGAGAAAGTGGGTATCGACGAAAAGAAGAAAAAGAAGAGGAGATTGGATTTATACCCTGCCCTTCACTCAGAGTCTCAGAGCAGCTTACAAACTCCTTTCCCTTCCCCTCCTCCCAACAGACACCCTGTGAAGCAGGTGGGCCTGAGAGAGCTCTGAGAACTGTCCTTGAGGGAACAGCTCCGACAGAACCATGGCTTGCCCAAGGTCATCCAGCAGCTGCAAGTGGAGGA